AGATGCTAATTTAATAAATATTACAAAAAAAACTGAGTATATTTAATTCAAATAATTATATTCGTCGTACTGATATATGTATGTTATTTCAACCCTCATAATACTCAAGTAGAATTATGGAGTAATATCATCGATATTAATTTAATGAAATGATAGTATGTGTAATTTGATGTATACGATATTAATATGGTATTATCGTCGACGTTTTTCTTAACAAAAATACTATTATTCGATACCAATCATAAGATGCTAATTTAATAAATATTACAAAAAGAACTGAGTATATTTAATTTGAATAATTACAGTACTTAACTTTCGACAAGTACTTGGGTTTGGGTGGTGTGTGGTCCGTTTACAACCTTTACTATGGAGATAATTGAAACATTAGAAAATACGTTAAGTAAAACAAAATAGGGATACCTTTGGTACAATTTAAACTACTTAACTTTCGACAAAAACACTTGGGTTTGGGCGTTAAATGGCCTATATGTTCGTATATAGCAGCAACCGCTTACAACCTTACTACTGATCAGAACCGGTGGTTATGGAAACGATAGAAACATTAGAATACGCTAAGTGAAAAACAAAATAGGGATACCTTTGGTACGTTTAAAATACTTGACTTTCGACAAAGCACTTGGTTTTGGATATTATGTGGTCCTATATGTTCGTGTATAGCAGCGACCGCTTACAACCTTACTACTACTACTGATCAGAACCAGTGGTTATGGAAGCGATAGAAACATTAGAATACGCTAAGTAAAACAAAATAGGGTACAGTTTAAACTACTTAACTTTCAACAAAACACTTGGGTTTGGGCCTATATGTTCGTGGTATAGCGACCCATTTTTAAGCCATCGTATGGTCTAAAATAAAAAGTAGTTGTAGGGCGAACGAAAAGAAAGAATTTTTTGCAGTTTGAGCATTGGAAGGGGTTTTTATGAATTGATGATCGACATTGATATTCTATTTTTAGCTGTTGATATGCGATCGATTACGTGTTGTTTACGTGATTTGAATATCCATTTTTTGTGGCTTGTAGATTCTCGATCATGTGAATTTGAAGGATCGACACAAATTATGTGTAACTTCTCTTATCAATCTATCATCTACATTTCGGATGACATCTTTATCGCTAAAGATACAAACTTGGTATTTGTTAGTTACATGGTACAACTTACTAAATTAAACATGTCTTGGAACACGTCGTTGTTGAAACTCTGGTCTGATTTATGATATGAGCGAAAGTCTTGAAAGCGAGACATAGTAATGAACTTGGTATATGACAGAACCACCTTTGTGGGAATTAATGAACAAAATAGGTACATGAAAAAGATGAGTAGATACTATATTTGTTTAAATTAATCCCCATTATCCATTTGTAATAATAACGAACATTCAATATGCTTCTATCTAACTTTTCTCCTTATTCTAATTCTCTCGATTTCTCTTATTATTATCGGTCTGTTTATTATAATAGTTAACATTCAAGGTAAATGTACACATAGTATTTTATTGTTTAAATCTTTTATTAACCTTTTATTAAATAATTAAGATGACAAGTTATGTCGAATTAGGAAGGGAGTTCGAAATTACTACAAAAAATATTTTGAGAATGGCAGGAGTTGAAGTGCGTCGTTACGAGTGAGTATTTTCGCTGAGTATTTGTTGAGTTATTATGTATCTGAAATTACGCTGCCACTAGGTGTAAATCGGAGAATTGAAAGCTCATCGTGGCCACAGCTTGCGAAAGTCGCCAGTCAGGTACCCAATTCTGGCGTACGGTGGACGGCCTGCCGTGAACGTTCTTCTCCGTTACCGAAAAGTTACCGTGCGCTGCCAGAACCTGTGGTGAATAGGATACATGATATGTTATACCGTGCGCTGCCAGCTGATATATCATGATAATTATGATACATATACTCATTTATTTTATAACAGACATGAACCAGGAGATGGAGGAATTGATTTAAGTGGGGGTTTCAGAGAGTATACGATAATAATACAGTGTAAGGTAAATATATAATAATTTCATTATATCATTGATATGTTAATAATACTTATATCATCAAATATTATAGGGTGGGTGGAGAGTTAGGGAAAGGGATATAATTCACTTGGAAGGAGCCCTGTCGAGATACGATAAAAAGAAAACTATCGGTATCTTGGTGGCTCGATCCGAATATAGATCTATATTTATAGCACAAGGAAATGATATATTTACTAAAAACGCAACAGATAGAGCAAAATCATCTGAATACAACATCATCTTAACAGATGAATTAAATGTGTATTCGGATTTGATTAATTTCATCGAGTCTCATCCGCTCGATGGCTCTAACAATAAATTTTTCTTTCATTTTTATAATATTGTTATTATTTTCTTCTTATTAATATTCCTGATTATGATACGATTATTTCTAAGTTATCGGAATATAATCCATCGAGAATTAATTGCCATAATTTTTTTTCTGTAACTTTTGTTTATCTCATAATTTGTCATAAATATCTTTTTTTGTTAACATGTTTATATCTTTTTTATCATCATTTCTTTTATAAATTATATATAATGTATTTTAAAACTGAAATTAATCCCTTTCATGTATATTTTTCTCAAAGAAATATCTGGAAAAAATTTTCTAACCACAATAGTATTTATGACACTATTGATGATTTGATTAACGGGAAAGTTTCAGTTTATGATATAGAACCTATTAGGCTTTGTTTTGTAGATGATAAGTTACATTCTTTAGACAATAGGCGTCTCTATTGTTTTCAAGAAACTATCCGTAGAGGTGCATCATTCAAAAGTATACCTTATAAATACCTTGATTATAATGATATACAAAATCATATTGATTTTAAAATGAATAATTCTAAATTTGTTGCGATTGTCAAACATACTGATTGGTCTACAATCTATGTTAAAGACAATCCTTTCAATTTAATTGATTAAATATTGTTATTATTATATCTATTTTGCTCATTTTTACATTATTAATTTTATATCATTATTATTTTTTTTATTAACACGAATTAAAGTTGTTTTTGCTTGTTTTTTATTTTTATTATCGTATTATTCATATTATTCAATAATAATAAATATATATACTATGAATACAAGAGTCATAATTATGATACTTTACGTTCGACAATATTCAAGATTTGAACAGTTAAAGGTTAGACAAATCAAGTTCTAGAAATGAGATAATCAATATACAACAATAATATTCCGGGTCGATTTTTTGCACACACGTATCGTCAACAGTTATCATTAACAAGTGCGTGAATTTATGAGAATTGGATTCTTGGTTACTGAATTAGCGATAATAGCGATGAAGATTGATTTCAAGCAGATCGTTATAAATGCTGAAATGTCGCTTATTGGCGTAATTATGATATTGATATGAGACAATCTGTTTATTTCGAACGGGCACGTCAGAACACTTTATTTTTTAAAAATAAATAAATATAAACATGAAAAAGTATTATACATTATGTAATTCTATTCTTGAGGTCGTACAATGTCATAAAAATAAATACTACTATTACTTGGAGTACCAACGGTTGATATATCACTCATGTCATCATCCCTTTTACTTCTAGGCTCAAAATAATTTGTTTGTGTCAGCTTAAATGCGTCGTGCCAGATATCTTGTAATAAATTAGCTACATAAGTGACATACGTCTGAAACTGTAACCAGCGATACACAAACGCTTTCAACATATCTAAATTGTCGGGTGGCGTCAAAGGTATTTCAAAGGTTTCTAAGATGCGCACTCGATAATATGCCCCGTAGGACTTATCTAATATCCCAATTTTTACTTCATGACAATAAACCTGTATCAAAATAATAGGTAAAGTATATATCTTTTCCAAAATGTTCTCCCTACCTTTAATGTTGCCCAATAGATTTTTTATCGTTCCATGAATGGAATCATGCGCATCTTTACCCGTACGCGCTAATTTTACCCAATCTGAGATGAACTTCGAAACGTCTGCCACAGGGCGTGAGCATTCTAGAAATAACGTTTCAAAGGTTACCTTAGTATTTACTCGAATCCTTAAATCGAGTAGACAATATCGATATATATTAATATGTACCTATTACTATCTTATTATTATGCGATTATCAATTTATGATATCTATATGAAATTCTTTATAAATATGAAACCTTTACGATACAAATTATTCAAGTTTATGCAATATATTAAAGCTAAACTTTTAAACATATTCACGATTAAAATGAAGTCATTCAAACAAATCTTCTTTAATATTTTCACCAAACAATCTACCTCCTTTAATTCTAATGATAACGAATCTACTTTTTATGACAATACTTGGGAGTCTCCGTCATCTTCTGATAATAATAATAGAGATGAAAAATGGGTTTCTGAGACTGAGTTGAAGGAGGAGAATAATACCTTTATCAATAAATCATATGTAAGTAAACATATTTAATATTATATAAAATTTTTCTTGTGGCTTGTCGATCATGTGAATTTGAATGATCGACACAAATTATGTGTAACTTCTCTTATCAATCTATCATCTACATTTCGGATGACATCTTTATTGTTAAAGATACAAACTTGGTATTTGGTATTACACGGTGCAACTTACTAAGTTAAACATCTTGGAACACGTTAGAAAGTTTAGAGTCGTGAAGCGAATATGATATTAAACTTGGTATATATCAAAGCCACATTCGTGAGATTAATGAACAAAACGGTACATGAAAAAGATGAGTAGATACCTTATTTGTTTTAATTAAACTCCATTGTCTACTTTTAATAATGCGAAAAGTTGAAATCAAAGCCACATCTGTGAGAGTAGATACCATATTTGTTTTAATTATTCTCATTGTCTACTTTATAATACTAATTAACGATCATAGTGAAACATGATATAGATTTGGTATAATCGAAAACTACATTCGTGAGAATTAATGAACGTAACTTTTCTCTTTTTTTTCTTTTGAAATAACAATTTAGTTCATGCCAAAAGTAAAAGTTAACACTACACGGAAAGGCGAAGAATTCGAAGAGAAGATATATAATATCTTATTAGAAGCTGGCTTTGAGGTGGAATGGCGTAGAGGGTGAGTTTTCACTGAGTATTTGTTGAGTTGTTTGTATCCGAAGGTATCGCTGCCACTAGGTGTAAATCGGAGAATTGGAAGCGCTTCGTGGCCGCAACTTACAATTTACGGTCAGACAGTCACTTGATGTTGATATCTGAAGGTATGCTGCCACTCGGATGTAAATTCGGGATTCGGTAAACACAATGGGTGTATATACACATCGATTCCTGTATTCGACAAAGCCGACAGTGAGGGATTCACGGGCGTGGTGAATAAGATATCTTTTAAATATTAAGTTGGTCTGTTTTTGATTCTGTAAATTGTCTGTTTGTGAACGTTCACCGACAAAGCCGACAGTGAGGGATTCACGGGCGTGGTGAATAGGATATATTGACCATTGAATTGAAAGCGCTTCGTGGCCGCAGCTTATGCTGTGAACGTTCTTCAATGGTTTTGACTATAACGATGATGCAATTACTCATTAAATTTATCAATTATCAGGATGAAAACTGGAGACGGAGGTGTGGATCTGGTCGTCTATTATAAGAATTGCACGGTTCTAATTCAATGCAAAAACTATGAAAAAAACATTGGTAAGTTTATTAACTCCAATAAGATTTCACAATAATAACAAGTAACAGGTAATGAAAAATACAGTATTAACCATTATTCTTAAAAGGTCCTGGGCCCGTGTTACAATTAGGTGGGGTGTTGTCTAAACGATCAAAATATTATTGCGGTATCGTAGTGACCCCCACTAATTCTCCTAGGTTTTCTCCTAAAGCAAAAAAAAGAGGAAAAAAATTGCCGGAGTCCGATGAAACTATCGTGCGAAGGCACGATAGTTGAGGATATAAAAAGGCTTGTTGAATCAATTCTGACTGCTTTAGGAGAAGAAAAGACGACCAGATCTGTTGTATCGAGAGGTAATACAGAAAAAGATTCGGATCACGTGAGGGGAGAGACTTGATAAGAATTTCTGTTAAAGAGGAATTAAAAGAACATAGTTTAGAAAGTCAGCAATTAAAAGTAGAAATGGCCGAACTTCGACATCTTTTAATTTCTCTTTCAAAAAATAAATAAAATCTATTTTTTAATCAAAATTTCAAAGTCGTTTCTTGGACGTTTATTGCTTGTAATATCATAATCATAATTACAATTGAAATCTAATTGACTTGAGCCATAAGGTCATATTCTTATGACATTCTCCGATTAGTAATAGATATTTACAATTATCTCTGATGTCGTTGATAAGATATTGTTTATGGAACGTCGTAATTTTATTATTAATGTCAATGTAAATGCGATAAAATAACTTGTTAGTTTCGATATGTTTAAAGTTAAATAGTTTATTCAAACACTAATATTTTATGAGAACGAATATTTGATATCAATGCGATTAAGAATAATATAATATTTAAGATTGAAAAATTTCAATATAATTTAACTGTTGATATATTTCGTTAAAAGTATTGTTTAAAGATATTATAATTACACTATATGACATATTTGGTTAGTTTTCTTATTCTGAAAGTAAAATTACGCAAATGATTGGATATGGATTCAAAGTTAAAATCTACTGATCATCTTGAAATGTGACTGGGCTGTTTTCGATTGCAGAAATAATTATCAACGTAATAGTAACAGATCCATTTCATTATATCCAGTTTAACAAAGGTCCGATCGCCTTATAAGCAAACCCTTTTATCAATTCATAATGTTTTAGTTTAGCTCCAAAAATTTAGCGCAAAGTTTTGCCAGGCTAAGGAAGAAATCAGTTCATTCAAGGCCAGACTTGTGAAACTGGAGCGGACATTTTCTCCTACTTATACAGGCGTGACTCTCCTACTATCAAGCTATGGAGGAAGATCCATGGATAGAAAAAGAATGCTATTTCATTAGCAAAAAATGAATACCCCCAAGAAGCACAAATAAACTTCTTACTGTTTCTCTACAGGTTAGTTAAAATTTTTTTTATTTACATTTATGGCAAATGATGATAATGAGCGGTGCTTCTTTCCAATAAGTTTTTTAAATTTGTGAGACTTAGTCTGCGGGGTTCCTATTCAACGCCAACGTAATATTTTAGATTCAACTCTAAAAATTATGATATTGAGGTTACTCTGGGTACTCGATGCCTGCTAGTACTGAATTCAACTTCACCAACGCATGGCTTTGTCTTGCAAGTTTTAAAATTTATATGTATAGACCAGAGTTGTTTTTAATGTGTAGGTCACGCAGAGAAAGCAACTTTGTATACATCTCTGATGACACGAGCTCGTGATTTTTTATTAATGTGAATAGATTATTTATACTGATTATGATAATAATAAGAACTAATATAATATTTTTATGCACCAGTTTGATATTGCCTTTGAAGGTGTATGTAGCCTTCGTGATATCGAAACAGTGAAAGAAATTGAGCAAATTAATAAGGAACAAATCGAGGTATGTAAAATAAATATCAATATTCTAATAAAATCAGCTTTCTAAAGATAAATATATTTGTATTTTAGGGGAATTTGCCATGGAACTTTATAATTTTTTAGATCATGTGAAAGTCGATAATTTAAGATGGCAAGATCCATTTGCCAGCCAAGTAATTAGCGACAAATCATATTTTGTGCGAAATTTACCCGGGAATATTTATCATAATTTCATGGGGCTGTTGTGATGGATGAAAATGGATGCACCACCCAATATCAGAGAGATGTGTAATGCATTTGTAGAAGACTTTATGAGATCGAAATTCCTCCACCAAAATATCTACATAACCATACCTGGAGAGAAACAAATGAGGAATTAGTACTTATACTGACATTTTAGAATTTTTAAACGATATCTGGAGAAACTCTGCATTCAATTTGCAAAAGCGCAAAGCGAAGGAACTTATGTGACAGATGTGATCGTTCCTTTACTCCTAGTATCATTAAAAAAACTCCCAATAAGGAATACCGCCTTTCTTAGCACGTAAGATTTTTCTTAGTATATTTACTGCTTTCATAGTACCTTTCTAGCTTCATAATTTATTTTTTAAATTAGAGGAGAACGTCAAAACCAAACTAGTGCCGATAGAAAAGGAGAGGGAAAACAGTGTAAACGACCTGATATGATGTTTATAGAAGAACGTAAAGGTAAGTTATACGAACTTATATTTGTAGAATCTTCCCGGTTAATATGTCTTCACAAAAAAAGATGAAGAAGAAGTAAAGCTATGGCGGGAGATGAGCGATGGGCTTTATTGGGTTTATAGTGGATCCAGGCCTGATAAAAATGAGTTTGGGATTGCCGGGGAACAAATAGCTGGAGATATGTTTATTTCAATATTATTATCAAAGACATGGATGATATACACCATACGCCCAACTGAGAGTGAAGATGTATTCCGATTTATTGAAGCCCTTTTAAATTTGAGAAATATTATAATTATAAACATGTCGCTATTGTACCATTCTCCTGAAGCTAGATCTCAAAGACTTAAAAGGCGAAGTTCAACAGTATCTTCCGATAGTGAAAACAAATAATGGTTTATTCAGGGTATTTTGTAATCTTACCTTATAGTCATGTATTTTATTATACACAGTGAACCTGGATATAACGAATTTCGACTATAACGAAGTTTTTTCGATGTCCCAAAACCTTGTCTAATAGAATTTCCTGGATATAACGAAGTTAATTAAGAAAACCTGGTTACTGGTTATAACGAAGTTTTAAATCAGTTGGCTAATAAGAATACAACGAAGTTTTCTTATAACGAACTTCATTATATTATAACAAAGTTCACTATATTATAATAAACTTTGTTATATTATAATGAAGTTCGTTATATTATAATGAAGTTCGTTATATTATATTAAACTTTGTTATAATTCGGCAATCTTTCCCATTAATGTAAATATGTATGCATGATGACATACTAATACAGTAATTCACTTCATATTTTAAAAGTTTACCGTAAATCCTAGTCTGTTTCTCATCATGATGACTAGAGACGAAGTGACAACCCACTAAGAACAAACGCCATGCGCTTTGCGGCATTGAAAAAAAGAAATCTGTCAAATAAAAAAGATAATCCCTCAATTAAAATGGCCGAAAACGGTTTATTCCAAGAGATTGTAGATACGGTTAATCATATTGAAACATTAGAAGAGGATGAACCTTCCGAAGAACGAATTGTAACAAGCTCTGAAGCGTTGTTGGGGTGTGATAACATGCTTGCATATATTGCGCAAAAGAATTTGAATGTTGACTATTCCGTTATAAACACACTTAAGAATTTAAGAAAGAAAATCTCTCAAACCAGTGTGGAATTGGCGCGACAAACCACACTCGAGGAATATTTGACATTCGATGCATAGTTTTTTTTATATTGCATACGGAAATTTTTTGTCTGAACGAGCGTCTTCAATAAATAATTTACTATATCGTAACACAAAATGACCTGCTTTAAACGAAACTGTAATGAAATTGAATAGGACTTCCTTATAAAGAGGAAACCTGGATATAACGAAAACCTGGATATAACGAAAAAAAAGGTCGGAACGGACCACTTCGTTATATCCAGGTTCACTGTGTATATAGATTTCCGTCTTGCATTTTATTTCTCATATATCAATAAAGCTGACTTGGTGGTTGAATTATCATATATAATTATAATTATATCGATATATAGTGTGTTGCAAAAAAAAAAACGAGAATAAAAAATTTCGCTGTTATGCCTTAACGAATGAACAAAATTTCATGAATAAAGACTTATTTGGAAGCTAGAAAGCAACATATTTTATTGATATATATTTAATATGGTATACGCTCGCCATTATTAGCAATAACAATAATCAACTTGCAACAGTTTTTTCATTAGATTAACTAGAACGGTATTTGGAATACAGTATAACTAGCTAAATAGTAATTTCCGGAGCAGAGATTACTACATTCAGCTAGTTATACGTTGGATTTTTGTCGCCTCTTACAAATAAGTATAAGAAAAAATTCAAATAAAAATTAATATTTCGATACCTGATTTACACGCTTGCCTTATTAAAATTTCACGTAAACGCTTTTGATATAATTTATCCGATAACCATTTTGTGTCGCACGATTTGATCTCGGTATAGTTTTGGATATAATGCGCGTGTGTAGTAGTATACTTCAAGTAGAGAATAACTTATGCCGAAAATTTTGGGCCACCAAAGTAAAATTATTACAGATATATAATATATTATAAAATTATGCTTTAAGGGTCATCAAATCAAGTAAAAGAAGTGGGTATCAAAAGTAATACGTCAAGGTTATCAAAATGTAATCCGATTTTTAACATAAAGCAAAGTATTCGGAAGCATTAAAGAGTTCTGAAAAATATAGCAAACTTTGGGTAATACGTTAAGGCACAATATTATAAGGAAAAAGGTAAGATAATTTGTGCTTTGACATATTAGATGACAATTCGGCACTACTGCCTTATTCTTAATAGGTATTCGAGTGCATCATACAAAGTCAGGATACGAATACTATTTCGGTACTACGTACCTCAAACGTGGCCCTTATAGAGGAATTAACCAGAAAGCTAAGGCAATACGTGCCAAGTTCGGGCATAGCCCCCCACAAATGACAACATGCGACTGAATGCGCCAAGTATATTTTTTTGCCTATGTGAGCCAACAATGGAAATCACTAAACCGGCATATGATATGATATATCGCACGCGGCCTGATATACAAAATGTGCCACCTTGTCGTGTGTCGTAAAAAGCAAAATGCACGTCACTCGAACGTGGCCTAAAATGTAAAATACACATCATACTAGCACGTGTCTCAGTGATTCTCAAGCGACGATACAAATGTAACCCGATATGTAGACTACACAGTGAAATTCACTTTAACGAAGATAGCTTATAACGAGGTATTTTTCTGGAACCAGTTCGTTCTTAACAGAATAATTTCAGATAATAATAAACGAAGATTTATATATAAATCAGTATAACGATATAACGAAGATTTCAAAATCCATGCATAAATAAAGCCATTCACTTGGGCGAACTTTTTTGTATAATTATAATAAAGTTCACTATAATATAACGAAGTTCGTTATAGGAATTAACTAATCAGAATCATCGATTTCAATTTCATAAAGCGGTGTCGAGGAATTAAATATAGAATTGCAAACTTTAAGCAAGTTACGTAAAAGCATTTTTGGAAATATTATGCAAAAAAGCGGAAATAACCATAATAAATCGACAATTTTTATTGGATATTCGTATTGACTAAAATCACGTGAAATATTACTTACTTTCAGAATAACGAATCTTTGCGGAACGGACGACTTCGTTAAAGTGAATTTCACTGTGTATAAACACCTCAGGTGAGTGGCGTAAAAAGCAGAATGCGACACCTTGGGGTGTGTGGCCTAGAAAAATGAAATACGCCACACACCTGATACTGAGACTATAATAGTCTAATCTAAACCGCTTTTTGTTTATATAAACAAAAAACGGCTACTCGTTTTTTATTAATATAATTTTGCATTGAGGACACCAAACGGTTATTTTATCTCACCTTCCACTTCTTTTTGATTAATAATTCTTTACCTAAAAGATCAATCAAAAATTAAAGATTTTCTTCTCAATCAGCAGTTTTTATCTAATTCTGTTTGAATTAAATTTAATAGCAATCTCAACAATAAAACTCAATGTGTTTTCCATCTTCTTCATCAATTAATTCTGAACCTTAATTGGTATTTTTACAATTACAACATTTTTTTGGTTATAATACTTATTAGCAACACTGGTCCGATGGAAGAAAGAGAAAGATCCTTTCCGCAAAAGAAAAAGGAAACTAATTTAGTACGTCTTAAGCATATTACCAATTGAAAAAATCGAGAAAAGTAGACTTCTGTTGAATCATTTAAGCTTGGAATCGTCACGAATTAACCCGACACCCGACAGATCACACAACCCGACAGCCAGTAGATAGAAACCAGTAATATTCCTAGTGTCGGGTGTCGGATAATCCCTGACTATTTGACCCGTATTAGTATTGTCCAATTTATGGACCCGACAACCTGTACGACGTGTCGGGTGTCGCGTTAATTCCTGATTATTTGACCCCGGCCACATCGTATTGTCCATAATATTTCCATTTATGGCCGACAACCGGCTGTACAACGTGTCGGACGTCGGATTAATTCCTGATTATTTGACCGACACACATCGTATTGTCCATGATATATCCATTTATGGCCGACAATCGGCTGTACGACGTGTCGGACGTCGGATTAATTCCTGATTATTTGACCGACACACATCGTATTGTCCATGATATTTCCATTTATGGCCGACAATCGGCTGTACGACGTGTCGGGTCCTGATTATTAAGTTTGGGCATAAGTTAAAGTTTAATACTTGCAAGTTTTGAAACGGCCTGTTTACTTACATTCTTCACGGCAGACGTTGCTCAATCGTTAATGAAACTTACGCTATCAAGTTTATCATTATAAAAAGCAAAGGGTAGAATAGCAGTTGCGAAATAGACTTCATTGGGGGAGACAAGAAACAAATAGTATTTACGTAATACGATAATCTGGCATCGCACACACCTCCATGATAATAAAGTTATCGTTTCACCCGAACAGCTTAACCTATAAGTATGTCTTGTATATCGTTTCTATGTTCATGACTCCAGAAGGGCGTCCCCAATGGTTTCTTGCACAGCTTGTAACATTTCCGCATCTTGCAACCAACTGCATAGTGCTTGTTGCACGACACAATAAATGCATCGAACAGCGCCCGCCGTGCATATTGAGCAGCGTTGTTTCTCATGGAGCGTGACGATTCTGTGAGAACTCGTATGCGTATAGAATCTGTGTTCCAAATAATTTATATAAATAATAACGGTTTACATAATGCTCGACAAGCATTGAGCTTTCTCCACTGATCGCTGCCATATTCACATCATCACTATTATTACGCGACTTGCGGACTGAAGCAATTCATCTTCTCAACAAATATCCTGTTCTCTAAAATGTCCAAACTTCCTGGTTACTTGCCGCTACCAACCCATGCATCAACAGACATTCCAGAAAGATACACAGATCACCCATTCAGAGCAATTCCATCGTTCGGGCCGTCTGACGCTGTGGTTTTTCTCGAAGAGCTTGATGGAAGCAGTCCACCGGAAACTCCTTTAAATGGGTATTTCTTGTATAAGGAAGAGCGAAGAAGCACAAAAACGGCCGTACGTTTGATGCTGGCATCAATCCTATTACTTGTATTTGGTCTTCTTCTTTGGAAACTTGTTCATTGTCAAAGTAGTGACATGAGCGTTGATTATGAAAAATAACGGATACCAACGAGGGATAGCGGGCATGAAATGGATGTTGGACACCGAGCGAAAAATATGGAAGAACGGCGAAAATTGAGGGTAATACTGTCGCCTATAAAGCAAACGAGTAATCGAATTGTTTTTGTTTTTATCAGTAACTATGTAAAGAGTATGTAGGAATTTTTTATTATAAATAACCTGTTCAATAAAATGTGTCTTCGACTGTGCAATCAATATACGGTTTAAGGACAAAGTCTCTCGAAACAATATCCGAGCCTTAGCAAAACAACATCACATTCTCCCATTTATGAAGACAAACCTCACCCTCAAAGCTAATCCCATGTCATCCATACACCATCTTCCTAAATAGGCGATGATTTATTTTTTTCTTTTAACATTCAGATCTATCCACCGTATCTCTTCAATTCGTTTTCCAGCGTCGCGCTTCTGCTGTTCGCTGACACCTTTCTTCAATATGCAGTTATCATACGCAGCGCTGTCAAATAATTTACTCTCATGATATGCTCGGTGCATTCGCGTCTCGAATTCCGTTCCATCTTTTGTTAAATGTCTTTGCAATTGCCAGTCCTTGTCGAGATTAGAATCACGCATTACTTCATAAAAGCGAGCGAGTTTCTCTTCACAATTATCCAGATTCTCGCGTGGTTCCCATCTAATACATCAGTCAAGAATAGTTAGCAGGGGGAACAACATACGTAAATGGAGAGGTGGTTGGAAGGAATAATATGACAGAATGACTTACGTTTCTTTTGTGAACCCTTCCCATTTCACCAAGAAATATTCCTTATTCTGTGCAAAGCAGAAACGAATGAATAAAAATATGAAAACAATGAAGTATATGATAAAATTCGAACGACTGAATCAACATGTTTTGATACCCACATTCTCTACCTTGACAGCAGTAATATCGTCAACAGTAAAGCGGTCTTCCATTGCTTCAGTCATATTAGCCGAATAGTAAACCAAGTAATGCGCTGCTGACGGAAGTCAACAACATAAGATCAAAGCGTTACGAATAGACGTTACTACTCAACTATTAATGTTTGAATACGGTGGTTTGACTTTTATTTAGTGATCGGCCTGTCGATCACACAAATTCTATACATCGTGTATTAGTATATGAAGTTCTATGTATCATTAGACTATGTCAACAGGATGTTGCTGACGTTCTTACTCTCAATCTGCATTATTATTATGAAAACCAACATAAAAAATTTTTGCTGTGAGAAAATGGATCTATATTGTAAACACGGTAATATTCTCTTGTTTGATCTGCGCTCGCTCCACCACAGGACGATTCTCCTCTTGCATTAACCGTGTTTTGGCTTTGCGTACATTCTCATCTATTGCCGAAAGGTCTAATGTAACATTCCTCCAGTTGCGAATTTTATGCTCGAGAAGTCGAAGAAGCTCCAGATCGTTTGTCTTATCTAGAAGTTCAATCAGAAAAACTATATACTGTTGTACGTAAACGAAGTGTCTTCCTGGCCTACGATTGAAAATAAAGAAATTATGATGTAGCATCTATCACATATAAGGACTATACCAACGCTAGCTCATTACCTCTCAAATTCGTTCTTCCATACGTTGATAACGCTCTTTGCCTTGACTTGTACCAAATTTTGCATATCACTCTTGGCTTCTTCGTATCTTCCTAAAAGTGCCTTAAGCATTGCAACCTAAATCAATAGAATAGTAGTAGCCATTATTCCGTAGATGAGTAATTACTTGAATATAATAATTGACGTAATAGGTTCGTAGCTCATTATTCACCTTGTATATTGGACGATGGTACCAGCCCCCAGTGTCTTGAGTACGAAGTGCTTCGTATTGATCAATGAAATATCCTATCATAGCCTCTCTGCCGTCTGGAATTGATATAGGACGAGAATAAGATTCATCTGAATGATCATACTCGAGACAATCACAGACATCGCTAGCCTAATTAACAAATACGAAACACACAAAAAAGTTGATGCATAAATTCCGTAGTTTCATGTTGAATTAATACAATGATCAAATAAATATCAACTTACCGTAAACAAGTTTTTCAGATAATACTTGGTGAGGACGCTTAGCAATTTATACTGTGGCTCAAGGACAATAACCTCACTGTTACGATCAAGCGTTTGGGGAGTGAGAGCTGCTGACACTTTGAGCAGACGAAGTATCTTTTTTGAACGATTTGCATCCTTATTTGTTTTAAAAGTGAGTAATAATTGATAAGCTTCTGTTAAGGTACTGAGAAAGTAAAAATATACTTACAACTGCGTCGCCCAAAATTTTGTATGAGCACATTGCAAGCATATATGGAAGCCTATTTGATAACACATAAGTAAAACGGTGTTTTCATCATCCCCTCGCACGATTTCCTCCAAAACTATCTTTCCCTACACTTACGTCCAATCTTTCTGATCGCAAATCTGCCTTTCAAAGGCAAACGCCGTTCCAAAACATTTTGCGGCCCACGTATATACATCGACGTTCATGTTTGCCAAGTGATCCTTCCGGAACGCTGCCATGCACATTGGTTTGGCAATCATTGAATACACGTGATAACCGTAACCATGCCAGAAGTTAAGCTGGTCCTCTATAGACGCTTGTGGTTGGTCATTGAGATTTGGGTAGAATTTTAGGGCATGGGCCGCTTGAGCGTAGCATAAGAATGCTTTCTATGTTTGAAATTAGAAAGGATATTTAGCGATAATGTTGGCTGTATTTCATCTCCTGTTGTCCATGCTTACTCTTTGATATTCGCCTATCTTTGAGAAGTTACGATTGATTTCAACTGCTGAATAGATCAATTTTTCTTCAGCTAGACAGGAATAGAGATATGCCAGCGCATGCCATGATGCAAATCTTTCTGGGTTATAGGTAATATCTTCCTGCATGAAAGAGAACATAAATATCAAGTTTAGCAAGCGACCATCACAAGGCTGAAAGAAAAATGCCGGACAGTTAATCGTACCTCATAGACTTCTATTGCTCTCTCTATAAGATCGTTCGCCTTTGCCGCGTTATGTCTTGAACGTGCTTTAACAGAATGGAGACGGATCTTACCGCGGAGATAATGCAAATGACTATTAATATAATCTACAATAGATAGTTTGGATGAGTAATGGGAAATGTAGTGCTAGAATATTTGATTGGATTATGGTCAATGAATGATATTGATAATAACTGTCATATCAGAATTATCGTTGTCTGATATACCACTCACCGAGTGAAAGTGTGTAGTTCTGTTTACATCGCATTGGCGACAACAACTCTCCCGTGTATTCCAGGTTTATTGCTTTGTAGAATTGAATAGAGCTGCCAAGATAAGATTTTAACCACTGCTTACAATCATTAACTTCTCTCATAAGACCTCTCCCAGTCTCCTCCTCTGTTAGAAAAAATACAGAAACCCAATATGTTAATTTATGAGACACCATTTTCTCGTACATAACACATCTTTGTATTATTGCTTCTTACCTCTATCTGCCTTGTCATATTCCAATACTTTCGTAGCAATTATATCTAATATCTCTTTGACTGCATTCCTTGCTGTCGCGCTTTTTATCCATTCTGACTGTGTCTTCACTATAACTCTAAATACGGGCTCGACGTCGCCCAAGTCCTTGAATTCTACAATTTTTGTTTTGTCGCTATAATTACTATGTTTCTCCAAATCGGAGTCATTGGGAGGAGGTATACTGTATAAGCAGTAGCAGCATAAAAGTTCCTGGGTTTCTATTCGAGCATCAGTTTCATAATATTCTCTGAGAACTGCTTTCAGAAACGAGCCTAATAAAATAAAAAAGTGACATATATGCTTTTGTTATTTGTTGAAGGCCGCCATTTACCAACTTATCAAATGCGTTCCTTACCTTCATCAGCACAGCACATCCAATTCTCAGCCAACGCATCATGCACCAGATCAAAATACTTCTCCATCAACAACCATCTATTAAACCCAACTCCATTTCTGGTTGGCTCATTCTTCAATATACGGTATATTATAATATATACTCTCACAGTAAACGCAGAAATAATATCAGCGACCGGTGTGAGATCATAATCATAATTCCTTGATTCATCTGAAAATAGTATGTGTATGCATATATTATGAAGAACCGAAATTGTTTGTCTGAATCTAACTGCATCATCATCAGGTAACATTGCAATTTTAAGGTTGTTTTTCTTGATCAACTCTGCCACCCTCTTGAGTTCATTGTTAAGATGTAAAATCTGCTCCCAGAACTCGCGAACAGCTATACCTACATCCCGCGGAGGACGACCTCTGGGTTGTTGGGCGCGCACTTCTTGCTGTGATGGTTGAGCGTTTGGTTGAGCGTTTGGTTGAGCGTTTGGTTGAGCGTTTGTTTGAGCGTTTGTTTGAGCGTTCACTTGCTGAAACGTTGGTGTTATTGGTGATTCCACCAAGTCTTCATCCTGTTTAGTATACAGCCTGAAGACGAGGTCATGGAGTGTTTTGACTGCGCATATCCATTCTGCTTCTATTGGAGATTTCTCTTCTGCGAGAAGACATTGTTCCAGTTCAAGGATTTTTGATAAATCGAGTAATGGATTCCACGTACTGCAAAGCACGTATAAAAGGTTATATTAACATGTGAAGAGATGCACTTATTGAATACGAAAAATTGCGATTATTACCGGTTGGGGATATATATACTGTCCCGTGTAGTTACTATTAATTTACATGCGGTTAGTAGTGATCTCGCCGATTTGGTGTTGCCATATGAGAGAGCAACGTAAACATTACTCCAAGTCGTTCTGTGTCGTACGGTAGAACGAGATTAAAGAGATAAGCAATGTAAGGTAAATGGTGTAATTGTTATTACAAAAGAACAAAAAAAAGTATCATATTGATTCAGCATATGTACCTCAATTGCGTTATTCTGCTCCATTCACTATAATAATAATATACCCGCTTTACCATTGTGTTACGTTGATCATCAAGTTTTGTCGGATCATGAAGTGCCACGATTTGCTCTACGACGGTCTGAATATCACACAGTCTGTCGTCCGCATACTTGAAAAGTTCTTCGTATAAACAGTATTCCTCCTGTGGAAAAAACCACGATTATACCGATAATTATTTGAGGGGGGAAAACTCTGTGTGTGAGAGCACTTACGTGTATCGGTTGACGTTCTAACTCATCTACACACGGTGATTGCTCACATCTGTCTTCTTGTAGTAGGGATGTTCTCTGATCAACGAGAAATTCACACAGGCCAATGGTTATCTATAGCAAAATGTCATAAGAAAACGAATTAGAATCAACTCGGGAGCGTATCTGAAAACAGTCGTTTTTTCAATTACTTACTTCAGCTAATTCTCTCATCCTTCTAAATTCACTATTGTCAAATTCACATTTCTCATTTCTTTTTAATAAACCCTCTCTGACCCAGTTATATGAGCTATCTTTATTTATTCTCTTCTGCTCATCACACAGTATCTGTAAAAGTGTTCGATGACAGCTGTTCAAAACGCGCAATACTATCTCCGCCATCCCATCTGGCCATCCATATAACCATAGTGACGTGCAGTCAGAGGACTCGGGGCCAGATTGATACGCAAATATATTAATGAGATAAACAGCCATCCAGATGGTTATCGTGGTTTTACGTTCATTGAGGCTATTAACAAGCTGTTGCACTGAGCTACTTGATAGAGCGACCGGATGAGGTGATGGACTTGTTTTCGTATAATAGATAAAGCGACGTCTACTATTGGAACTATGATAAGAAATAATATATGATTAATTGTCTCGTGTGCTATCAACTCGTATCCAATCGATTCGTAAAACTCACCTCTGTCTACATTCATTTTCTTCCAACAGTCCAGATATGTTTATGAACTCGTCCGTTGCTGCTGATGCCCACATATTTTCCAGTCTGTCCATGAACAACTCTATCTTCATTATTTCGTCTTGTTCTTTAACTGACATGAGCAATCTCTCATCAATTGCGGTTATAATTTTCTCCATCTCGCTTATGAAACCAGTTTTTGACTCGTCTTCTGTTTTATCTCCTGATGCTTTGGGGCCACTAGCGATCCCACTGTTACGACGAGCACGTTTGGACGTTGTTCTAAACAAATGAATAAATGTAAGTAAGTGTACAAAATAAGACTATTCACATATACAATAACTAACCTTGTGTTTATACTCTTTCTCTTTTTCAAATTGGGTGGCCAGAATTCTATTGAATCGTATGTATGCGGTTTGATATCAATTAATACAATATGGTCATCTGACCTTTTCTCTTCCTTGTTTAATCTGCGGGAATATAAACAAATTGTATGTTACAAGCACGTAGTAAACATAGCGCGAAATTCCAAAAACTTGGACTAACGTTGTCTGTGTACAGCCATCATATATTTTTAACAATAATTCTCCTAGGCCTTTCCACGTGCATAGCTCGAGCTCGTAGGAATGTTCGGCAAAAGAAACTTCATCAGCGCGTACTAAAATAGCCAATTGACTGTTAATGAACGACTATTTGTAATGCGTTTTACTACGTTGCTCTTGGGTCCTAATGCGAAAAGTCTCCATTTATTACCAGTGGGCCAAGCTCGTCGAGTAATGTGATTATGATATCGGTGCGATAGTTGAGGGCGATGAACAAATGTCTCACTACAAGTGACAACATCCAGATCAGAACATTAGACATTAACCAACTGTAGATCAATCTTCATAACAGCAAAAGGAGATAAATAAACAAATTAATTGCAAAATTAATAATATTAAGC